TTCAGTGAGCAATTCTTTACAGTCTCACTATAAAGAATGGAAAGGTCCTGTGAATGTTAAACATTCAAGTAACAATTGACAAAACCCTTTATTTTCTGGTGTACAAATCCAGTAAGATTTAACAGTTCTTACCATCAGCACACTATTGCAGTCCTGTAGTTCATATTCAAAGATGAGCACCCTAGAGGCAGAGTCCTCACCGACAACAGGACAGCCTCCCATAGACAAACCAGATGGCTGGATCAGTTGACCATTGCTAAACAAATCCTTCTTTACCTCCACAAGAACCCGGTTCTCACCGCATTGAACGGCCACACTACTGGGAGTCACAGGTTGCCTCAACTGGAAGTCCACTGCCAACTCGCTTTGCACCTCTGGAACGATGGGAAACCTCCAGTCCAAAGGCTTGACTGGACCCTGCAACAGCTGCTTCTCCTGAAAACCAAGAGGCTCTTGCACAAATCCTCTGGAGTCCTGACTCAGCTTCTGCAAAGTATTCAAGACCCCTTGAGAAGGAAGAGCAGAACCTCTGGAAGCTGGAGCTGACTGTGGCTTCATGCTGCTAGGACTTTGACTGTGTCTCAAACTTCCCCATGCACTCTTCAGGTCAAACGCCACAATCACAACCAACACTAACACACCTTGCAAGAACCCCATCCTGACAAACTTTGGCACAATGCTCCAATGCACATCAGCGTTGGCTTTGCTATTTAGTACAGCTTTGAATTAAGGTGGCTCCTCCCCTTTCAGCTTAATTGATTAACTTTGATTCTCCTCAGGCCCCGTAGAGTTTATTCATCACCAATTGAGAACAGTCAAGAACATCACTAACCAATAGAAAGCTTCATGTGGATCTGAAATTGTAATCTTCTTTTGCTCACTATTTTATAAGAAACACTGACAGTTTGTCCATTATAGATAGTTAATGGCATCTAAAAAGCATCTGAGTTCATAAAAAAAATATTCATTAATAATCATAACTATTCATTAATAATTTTTAATTTAGTTTTTAGTATAGTCACTGTGGTTTATTGGTAACATCATACCTAAATACAAATTTGATGCGACAATCATCATACCTAAATACAATTTGAAGGAACTGGCAAAATGGGAGGAACTAAACAGCCCGGAAGTCACCTGTAATTGTTCAGGTACAATAAGTGGACCTAGACATTGTCCCATTTTTACTCTTCATTGTGTATTTTTAATTCTCTTTGTGTGTGTGTGTGTATGTGTATGTGTGTAAGAGAGAGTGTGAGTGAGTGAGTGTGTGTGTAAGAGAGTGAGTGAGTGTGTGTGTGTAAGAGAGTGAGTGAGTGTGTGTGTGTGTAAGAGAGTGAGTGTGTGTGTGTAAGAGAGTGAGTGAGTGTGTGTGTGTGTGAGAGAGTGAGTGAGTCTCTTTGTGTATATATATGTACAAACCCGATTCCAAAAAAGTTGGGACACTGTACAAATTGTGAATAAAAACAGAATGCAATGATGTGGAAGTTTCAAATTTCAATATTTTATTCAGAATACAACATAGATGACATATCAAATGTTTAAACTGAAAAAAAGGTATCATTTTAAGGGAAAAATAAGTTGATTAAGTTTCATGGCATCAACACATCTGTGTAAGAGAGTGAGTGTGTGTGTGTGTGAGAGTGAGAGAGAGAGAGAGAGTGTGAGTGAGTCTCTTTGTGTATATATATATATATATGTACAAACCCGATTCCAAAAAAGTTGGGACACTGTACAAATTGTGAATAAAAACAGAATGCAATGATGTGGAAGTTTCAAATTTCATTCAGAATACAACATAGATGACATATCAAATGTTTAAACTGAAAAAAAGGTATCATTTTAAGGGAAAAATAAGTTGATTAAGTTTCATGGCATCAACACATCTCAAAAAAGTTCTAAATTATTCCATTCCTTTTTTACTCACAATTTGTACAGTGTCCCAACTTTTTTGGAATTGGGTTTGTATTATCGTACCGTGATTTACAGAAAAAAATTTTGTTCAGTGTAGCAATAGTTCATATACCAGATTTTGCTATATAGTCACTAAATAAATAATAAATTCTCACCTTTTCCTTTATATGTTTCAATAAGTACAGGTCAGAAAACGAATGTAGTTTTTATATAAATAAATATATATTTTACACTGAATGAAGATGGAACATTATTTCACCCATTTTTAGATATTTTCACAAAAGTTATTGGAAATATTCAAGTAGACAGTTTATTTGCATATGCTTTCTGTGTATAAAATCACATTTATATATATATGACTGATGGTGTGTGTTGATTATATCAGACCTCAGAGCTGCTTTAATGCATTAGATCAGAGTCTGTTTGAACACAGATACACTTTAATATCAGTAAAGACACATATATTTTAGACATCCTGACATACAATCACTATTTTGCACTAATGATTGCTGTTATCAATAAAGCAGTGACTTCATTCAAGAATTCTGCTTCTCAAAGTTAAAGACTAATCATTTTTCCTGCAGAA